CGAAACCAAGGTACATGCCCTTCACCGGAATCGAACCTGGGGACGCTCTATCCACTGAGCCAAACTGGTTTCGGCGAGGATCTTTTTCAATGGGAAAAAGATCCTCAAGTGAAAATTAAAAAACAAACAAACGTACACATGAAGAAATTAGAATACCAAAATAACAATACAGTAAGGTGCTACCACATCTATAATAATAAAAGCGTAATATGCTAATTAGGCCAGACATCATTCCAGACAACCTTCCGGATGAAGCCAGGGCTGTGAGGGAAGCCCAGGTCTCAGTGAAGCCAGCAGCCGGGAAAAGGAAGGCCTTCTCTTGCACAATTTCATGCATCGGGCCTCTAGTCAGATATAATTGGTAATTTCCACAAACAAATCAATGTGGACTCCAAAAAAGTATAAGTCGTTAGCTTTCTATGCATGTAGCATGTGACATTTTAATACAAAACACCGTATAATAACAGATAACACCTTCCTTCCCATTCAGTAAATTCAATGTAGGTTTGGGGGTGGTTATAAGAATTGTAGGGGGGAAATGTGGAAGATTTAAAAATGGCAGAGATTACGGAACATCCTTTCCATGGAATGCCGGCACCTCCAGGGATTACCTGATTCCACGGGGGTGTGGGGCTTGCTTTGTCAGCCTGGCTATTTTACACCTCCGCAGAAAAGTGAACTGGTAGAAAGAAAACTCAGCACAGCACAAAGAAGTCGTGTCCATAAAAATGCAAACTGTGCCCAATGGAACTGAACAGTTTGCCAGTCTTGCATCCCTCTGCACCAGTTTTGAGATGGTCTGTAAACATCGAATTCTCCTTTGAACTAGTTGTAACACCTGACTGACTCCTTCATTAATTAATGAGTTATATCCCTTTGGTGTGTGTTCATTTTATATTTGTCTTGAGGGTCATGCTTATATCCTCATCTAAACTTCATCCTTCAGTAAAATGAATACAAAATGATGCCTATGCCTTCTCAGAGATCTCACAATACGGTAAGGAAAACAGCCAACTAGGATGAGAGTAGGTATTACAATAGAGGTATGTCTAGCCAGCTAGGGTGAGAGTAAGTATTACAGGAAAGAGATGAATAACATATGACAAGTAAAATAAAAGCATTTTCGGTCTGAAAGGTTTAAGAGAGTCTTACCCCTTAAGTTACAATTATATCACAAGAATCCAGGGCCAACCCACCCACTGCCTGCTTCTGTGTAGCCCAAAAGCTAAAAGTGTTTTTTTTTTTACATTTTTTTAATGTTGGGGGTAGGGGATCAAAAGAAGTATGATTATATAAGGACATGTGAAAATTACATGGCATTCAAATATCAGTGTCCACAAATAACATTTTATTGGGACACAGCTGCACTCATTGATGTATTATCTGTGGCTGCTCTCATGTTACAATGACAGGGCTGAGTAGATGCGAGAGACCTTGTGTGGCACTCATCAACCCACACTGCCCATCAGCACACCATAAACTGTAGTATCTATGGTAATAAAAGCATAATATGCTAATTAGATCAGATAGCCAAACGACCTTCCAGGTGACCTTCTGGATGAAGCCGGGGCTGCGAGGGCCGAGGCAAGCCATCATGGCTGCGAGGGCCAAGCTCCTTGCACAGTTTCATGCATCGGGCCTCTAGTTGGATTATAATTCAACAGCATTTCAAGTTCCAAGGTATCACCATACCACATTTTAAAAATTACCACTTCTGCCGAAACCAGTTTGGCTTGATGGATAGAGCATCGGCCTGCAGACTCAAGGGTCCCAGGTTTGATTCCGGTCAGGGGCATGTACCTTGGTTGCGGGCACATTCCCAGTGGGGGGTGTGCAGGAGGCAGCTGATCGATGTTTCTCTCTCATCGATGTTTCTAACTCTCTATCACTCTCTCTTCCTCTCTGTGAAAAATCAATCAAAAATATAAAAGATAAATAAAATTACCACTTCATGCAGATCATGTAAAAATAAGAAGAGACAACTGCACTTTGTCACTCCTTTAAGGCACAGAAGAGTATGGGTTTTGTCAGCAAATCAGATGGCAGCACACTGTGCTTACGGCCCAGTGACACCACAGCTGTGCTGACAGATAGAATAGACATCAATATTACCAAACTTCGCACTCGTCACGATATTCTCAACTAACAGGAAAGCCATGATCTGAAAAATTCAAAAATTCTCAAAGGGTATTCTCACCACCCAGGACTTCTTCACAAAAACAGAAACAAGATTGCATCCAAAGTAAAATTTCCAGGTGGCTCATTGGTTAGCCAAGAAGGAAAGTCACTTACCACTTGCCAGTGGTGGACCCATTCAATCGTATTTGACTGCAGCCGACAAAGAAATGCATCCACAGAAAACAAACTGTTTAAGCCCATTAGCCTTTTGGTCAGAATGGCTGTTTGAAGAGTTGAGGTTATTTTTTAAATATAAAATCAATAGTACATTTAAAAAAAATATATGACTGCAGTTGGCTTTCCTTGACTCTTGATGAGTCAACAAACGTAGCCAATATTGCTCAATGGCAGAGGAGTCAATGCCAAGTTTAAAGTGGCTCAAGAATTAGCCCCTATGAACAGGCTGCATGGGAAAACTGCAGGTGACAACATTCTCAAATGAACTCAGCAAACCTTAGCCCAGTACAACCTGAAGTGGAATTTACTAAGATACACTGAAACTGATTTTGGCACAAAAAAAGCATGTGTGGAGCAGAGAAAGGACTGGCCATCCTTTCAGCCTCTGTTACTGAACACTAAATGGCCTTTGTCGTCAGTTTTTGCTGCAGATTTGGTGCTGTTTCCTAATAAATTTTACCTAAAATTACAAGGCAAAACTGACACTGGGGTGATACTGTCAGAACAGCAAGTAATCACGAGCTGATATATTATACATACTTCCAAACATGAAACCAAGATCGGAGATCATCACCATATCAACTTGCAGTGCATATATGTTCCAAGCTCAAACTACACTTCCAGCAGGTTTTTTTCAGAATATGTTGCAAAGTAAATTTCCACATTGCAGAATCCACTTAACTGTGCAACTAAGGCACTTCCTTCTAACCTTCAAATGGAAGTTTGCAATGTTATGCTAAAAGGCAAATAGTAAACGAAAAATCTAATAGAATTCTGGAAATGCCTTCTGAGCAATGAATACGCTCAATTAAAATCACATGCTCACAAACAGATGTCGGTATTTGGCAGTACCTATTGGAGTGCAAAGGCATTTTCAAAAATGAAATATGTAAAATCTCATTACTGATCGGCATTGACAGACGAGCATTCGCATTCAATTCTCATGATGAGAAACACCAACTTTTGATTACAATGAAATAAAATGTTACTTTCCACAGAAAGATTTCATTGTTCTTATTAGGAGACCGGAATTATGTAATGTTATAACAGATTAAATGGGTATTTTAAATTTTTGTGGAAAACAGGACTGCATGGGATGGTTCCACCTAATCCTCCAACAAAAACCGCTTTTCCAACATCTCGGTGAATGCAAACTCCGTTCTTCAGGTTGATGAGGCCAAAAACACTTGAAGTCACCCTTGACTTCTCTCTATCTCACTCTCTGTATCCCATTCATCAGCCAAAACGGTTGGCTTTATATGTAAAACTATATCCAGAATCTAACCATTTTTCATGGTATCTACCATCCTGGTTCAAGGCATCATTATCGTTCATCTATTATAGTAATCCAGGTGGTCACCTTATTTTCTCTTTTTCCTCCCCAGTTAGCCTATTCACAGCAACCAGAGAATCCCTTTAAAAATTTAAGCCAGCCGAAACTGGTTTGGCTCAGTGGGTAGAGCATCAGCCTACGGACTGAAATGTCCCAGGTTCGATTCCAGTCACCTTGGTTGCGGGCACATTCCCAGTAGGGGTGTGCAAGAGGCAGCTGATCGATGTTTCTCTCTCATCGATGTTTCTAGCTTTCTATCCCTCTCTCTTCCTCTCTGTAAAAACTCAATAATATATATTTTTTTAAAAAAATTAAGCCAGATTATGTTACTTTTCAGCCAAAAATACTCCAGTGGTTTCTCTCTCCCCTCAGCATTAAACACACACACACACACCAACGACCTTCTGATGGACTACAAGAAACTACATGATCTGCTCTCCACCCACCCAAACCCCTTCTCTGACCTCATCTCCCTCCATTTGCCCCCAGCTCAATTTCAGCCACAGGTCCTGCTTGGGGAGTCTGTTCTAATGCTTTTTAATCCTCTGCCCCACACTTGAACTTGTCTTCCACTGCCTGAAATGATCTGTTCCAGAGAAGTCACCCAGAGACAGTCTGTGCCCATCCTGCATAACTAGCAACTATCCTTTCACGCTGCCCTACCCTCTGTACCCCTGCTACTCTGCATTCATTTTCTACAATAACAGGTACCACCACTTGGCATCCAATATATTTAATTAATCCCATCTCCTCCTAGCCCGTTAAAATATAAGCTCCACGAAGGCAGGAAATGTGTGTGTTTTGTTCAGGGTTCTACCCAAGGACTCTAAACCAGCGCCTGGAATAAGTTATTTGCTCAGTAAAAAAACAAAGCAGCAACAGCAACACATTTTCTGTAAGTAGCGCTTCTTCAGCTCCTCTTTCTTATGTAAGGAAAATAGGCATGCATCCATTCCAGCAGGAAGTGACATTTATCCATAGACATATTAACTAATTGCAAAATATCCATTTCAGGAAGAGATGCATTTCCAATTTTATTTTACTCTTTAATTAAGAATTATTTGCCCTAGCTGGTCTGGCTCAGTGGACAGAGCATCAGCCTGCAGACCAAAGGGTCCCGGGTTCCATTTCCAGTCAAGGGTATATGCTCAGGTTGTGGGCTTGATCTCCAGCAAGGGGGTGTGCAGGAGCCAACCAATCAATGATTTCCCTCTCAACACTGACGTATTCTACCTCTCCCTCTCCCTCTCTGAAATCTATAAAAATATATATTTTTTAAATGCATGCATCCATGTTCATAATGCTGATTTACCATCGCGCTCAGTGTCTCCTCCCAATCGGGCCGCTCTCGGGGGTGGACATTTCTGTGTAGTTCTGGAACAAAATCATCCTCTTCAGAATGTACCGAGGACTTCATCTTCCTGGAGATCAAAACATGAGAGACTCTGATAAGGATTTATGCTTCTCTAAAAAACATTTCAATGGCAACAACGCAAAGAACAGAAAATTATGTGAGATTTAAAGTTTAATTAAAAGAGCTTTGGTGGTTGGTATTTGTTCCTCTACTTCTACTCTAGTTTTCAGAGACCTTTTCTGATGTATCAAACACCTGCTTTTATTCCAGGAGATAAAGCTAAGGTCTTTAACTTGTTAACCTTTATGATCTGGGATAATTATTATATAATGACTGATTGCTATCAGTTCAACATAGTTGGTACCTTGAGAAGATTTGCAACAGCGAGCGGTCAATATTTATAGAACTGTGCTAAGCATTAGTAAAATTTCAGGATGAAGGGGCAGATACAGTACTTTTCTTCCCCAATTTATGGAGGACAGTGTATTAAACTAGCACTCTCAAGGAGAATAACTATGAGTATTAGACAAAACATATAAAGCTTCTTGCCTGGAGGCACAAGACTATACAAACCAATAATTAAAAATAAAAGCCAATGATAATCTTACAGTGTAACTAGGCTGAAGAGGCAGAGGTTGGATGTTGGGGTCACCGAAGCAAATGGGGATTCAGGGTAAAAAAAAATGCCACCCCTCGAAGACCTGGAGAGGAAGAGTCCAAAAATAGACACGGAAATTCCCCTCAAATTGTTAACTCATTCCCCAGCTTGTAAGTATGTGGGACAAGATGCCAAGAAACCTATCAAAAAACAGCTGCTGGGTAACTGATGGGCCCAGCAGACACTGCACAGGCTAGCCATGCTGAGATGGAGGTTGGCAAGCAAACGCTGCTCAAAACAGAGGGGCACTGAAAACAAAACAAAACAAACAAACAAAAAAAAAACCCACAAAACAAAAACCTTAGACTTTCCACTAAGAAGCCAGAAAAGCCCTGCCTCAGGACGAAGGACAAAATAGCAACAGACAAGCTCAAACCTAGCCCCAAACCAAGCCTCGGGCATGATCAGAACTGTCAGAAGAAAAATTAACTCTCTTCAGAGGAAAGTAATGTTCTACAGGCCCCTTGCAAGTTTTTCATCCACCTTGTCTGGTAGATGAGAATTAGAAGGCAAGCTTTAAGAAAACAGGAACAAATGAACAAATCTTGGGGAGGGGAAACGCAGTAAAAACAGAGAAAGAGTCACGTTTGATTCGGAATTTAGAATGACCAGAAAGGGACTTAAAAATGGCTCTGACGGATTTCTGGCTTCTGGCTATGATGTAGAAAGCTGTAAAAAGCAGCATTCCCAGCCTAAGAACAAGACAGATAATCTATGAAATCATAACTTTTCTTGAACCCATCAAAAAACTGAGGTCTGGTGGCAACGCACTGCTAACCTAAACTCTAAGGAAAGACAGGAATATCCAAGATGATCTAAATCACAAGCAATCACTAGGACAAGGCATGGGTAGAAGAGAGAGCCACAACTGGTAAGAAGGATTCAGTATCAAGCTGTTAAAAGTATTTATAATGAATGGGTTCAGAGTAAAGTATGTTTATAATAAAATAGATGACAAGATAAAGTACTTCAAAAGAAAATTATAATTATGAAAAACAAAAAGAATGTTCATCCTAAAAATAAAATATCTCAAATTAAGAACTCAAAGGATGGGTTTAACAGAACAATGGACATGGCTAAGGAGAAGATTAGTGAACTAGCAGATGGTTCTACACTGAAGAACAAAGACAATAGGAACAGAAATGCATAAAACACAAGAAACTTGGTAAAAGGTCTCAAATATGTCTAAAACTAGCAACTCAGAGACAATATAATGAAAGAGAGAAAGGGACAAAAGGAATATTTGAAAAATAATGACCAAAACTTTTCAAAACTGATGAAAGTCATTCAACTACAGATTGAAGAAGTCCTCAATCAGGATTTTTAAAAAGCATCTATTTAAAAAGCAAAACAAAATGAAGATATTCTTAAAAACAGCTAGAGAATAACAGACAAGTTGAGCCCTAGCTGGTCTGCTAACTGGATAGAGAACCGGCCTTTGGACTCAAGGGTCCAGGGTTCGGTCCCACGTTCGATCACAGTCATAGGCACATGCCTGGGTTGTGGGCTCAATTCCTAGTAGGGCGTGTGCAGGAGGCAGCCGATCACTGATTCTCTCTCATCACTGATGTTTCTAACTCTCTCTTCCTCTCTAAAATCTATAGAAATATGTTTAAGAGTCTTCTATTTTTTTTTTTAAGTGAAGTAAGTCCAATCTTAGAGAATTCAATAAGTCAAAGATCAAAGTTGCAATCTCTACGGTAACAACTAAAAGAATAATAAATAAATGTATAACTAAAAATCTGATAGAGAAGAAAATTTTGAAAACTAAAACATACTTGATTAATCCAAAAGAAAGCAGGAAAGAATAAAAGCACAAAGAATGAAAAAGGCAGATAAAAAAAAAAAATCAAGATGGTAAATTTTAATCCCAGTACCTTAACTGTAGTTTTTAAATTGAATGCACTAGTAAGCAAGCATGTGGAGAAACTGGAACCCTCACTCACTGAAATGTCGCAACCAATGTAGAAAACAGATTGGCAGTTTCACAAAATACAAATACCATATGATCCTGCAATTCCATTCCTAAGGTATTTAACTGAGAGAAATAAAAACATATATCCACCAAGAACTTGTACATAGATATTATACCCATATTATTTATCAATATAACAGACAAAAAGTCTGAACCACCATAGTGCCCATCAACTGAGAAATGAAGAAACAAAATCTACCAGATCCATAGAATGAAATTATCCAGCTATTAAAACAAAGAATGAAGGGCTGATTCATGCCACCGCATGGATGAATAGTAAAAGCCTTTTGCTAAATGAAAGAAGTCAGACACAAAAGGCCACATAGTATTTGATTCCATATAAACAAAATGTTGAGCTTAGTCAAATCCATAGAGACAGAAAGTATATCGGTGGTTGCCAGGGACTCGGGGTAGGAGGATATGGGAGAACTACTACTAATGAATAGGAGATTTCTTTCTGGAATGTTCACAATTAGATCATGGTGGCAGTTGTATAACTTTGGGAATATATCAAAAACCATTTAATTGCAGAATTTAAAAGAACAAATTTTAGCATATGAATTATACCTCAAAAACAAGTAAGTGGACTTAAAAAAAAAGTTCATTAAAATAGATAAAGGAAAACACATTTCATAACGATGTGTCTAGCGAACAGGGTGATATAATAAAATCTGTATGTGACAAATAACACAGCTTTAAAATACTTAAAACAAATCTGAAAGAACTAAAAGGAAAGGAGATAAACCCACAATTACAGTTGCAGATCTTATTAAACATTTCTCAGTAACTGACAGAATAATCAGACAGAAATAAATGCCATAAGTATACAGAATATTTGAAACCAGCATTCCAATCTGAACTAACATAGAACATTAAACCCAACTACAGTCTATGCATTCTTTTCAGGTACATCTGAAACATTTACCAAGAGACAATATGTAGACAATAAAGTAAATCTCAACAAGGAATTTAAATTATGAAGTGATTTGTGATCATTATAGAATTACACTAAAAATCAATTACTACAAATGATGACTACAAAAGATGACTACAAATTCTCCCAAATGTTTGGAAATTAAGAAACACATCTCATTGTTTTGCCTCAAACTTACACAATGTAATGTTAATCATAGCTCAATAAAGCTGAAAAAAAGAGTAACTACTGTATAATTTTATTTACATTAAGTTCAAAGACAAACAAAAATAACCTATTGTGACGAAAGTCAGAATAATGTTCCTTTGGGAGAGGTACTGACTAGAAGAGGCAAGGGGCTTGAGAAGTGCTGGAAATAATTTGTATCTTGACTGCGTTGTGTTACCTGGGTATATACACCAATATAAATTCTTTAAGCTCTATATGCTTATGATTTGTGGACTATGATATGCAAATTATATCTAAATAACACTTTATTGGCAAATGTTACACGTTATTTTAAAAGGTATAAAAACTGTTTATATGCATTGGGTCATGTAACAATGAATCAACACCATAAACACTTAATATCCATTTATTTGATTCTTGTTCTCTTTAAATTATGGACTTATTTAACCCTTAAAGTGATTAATTATAGTTTTATTAATTATTGTTTCATAAATTGAGCCACACATATTTTTTTGCTTCCCAATACATATAAAAGCTACATTTACATTATGCTATAGTCTACTGGGTTGCACAATATCATTATGTCTAAAAAAAATGTGCATAACTTGATTTTAAAAATATATTGCTGTCTGAGAGGTATGCTAAGTGATTAGAGCTTCAGCCAAAACACTGAAGGATGGCAGGTTTGATTCTCGGTCAAGGGCACATACCTGGATTGCATGTTTGATCCCCAGTCCAATCAATGTGTCTCTCTCACATTGATCTTCCTCTGTCTCTCCCTCTCCCTCCTTCCCTTTCCCTTTCTCTTTCTCTTTCTCTCTCTCTCTCTCTCTCTCTCTCTCTCTCTCTCTCTCTCTCTCTTCCTCTCCCTCTCTCTCCCTCCCCCTCCCTCTCCTTCCCTCCTTCTCTGTTACTCTCTCCCTCCCTTCCTCCCTCCCTCTCTCCCTCCCTCCCTCCCTCCCTCTCTCTTCCCCCAACCCACCTTCCTGCCACTCCCTCTAAAATTCAATGGGAAAAAAATATCCTCAGGTGAGAATTAACAACAAAAAAGCACAAAAAACTTTATTGCTAAAAAATGCTATCCATCACCTGAGCCTTCAGTGAGTCATAATCTTTTCACTGACAGAGGGTCTTACCTTCAATTTGTACAAAAAAAAAAACAGTATCAGCAATGTGCAATTAACTTTGTCTGTATATATAAACATATAGAGAGAGATTGTTCATATATATTAAAGAATACATCCACACAAAACAAAATATAAAAACAATGTGTAAATATGCTACTCTGAGTTTAAAAAAAAAAAGGGGGAGAGTAAGTTTTATTCCTCCATT